CCCTGAAAAATTCAGCTTGTGACACCGAAGTGAGAGGTAACGTCAAAATAAGCTTTAATCTACCTACATCATCATAGGTAGGTGTAGGTACTCTAGGTAAATTCTACCTAGACAGTAGCTGAACTAGCTGACAGTAGTAATTAATTTGTTATCCGATAAGTAGTTGTCATTATATAAGTTTAATCGTCTTATACCTCCTATAACGGTAGGTTTTGGATTTTTCCTGATTGGTTTGTTAAACAAAAATATACTGGGCATATAAATGTCTGTTACAGGTTAATTCGTTAAAGAAATATGTTACACACATATTATTTTAATAATAATAGTATAATAGTAATGGCTATATTATGTTATAACACATTATTGAATTAACAATTGAAAACAGTATTGAATGTACTTATTTTAACCAATGCATTGTTTTGTTTTTTTAATCTCACAAATAAGAAATATTTTATAGTTTTTATTATAAAAAACAGTGATTATACAATTTATTTACACCCCTTACACTGTTTTCTGTAAGGGGTGTAACCAGGAGTATATTTCGTAACCTTTTACGATATAAGAGGGCACAAAGTGTTTTATTACTTAATGCTTAAAATTTAATAATATATTTGTACATAAAATAAAATAGACTAGAAAGTCAATTAATTAATATTGACGTAATTACTAAATAAGTACAAGATTTTTTTTCTAATTATTTTAGTGTATTTTTAGTCACCGAATTATAAAGGAGAGATATCCAACCATTGCATTATTTTACTCACAAATAAATGTTTTATGGTTTTTATTATAAAACAACGATTAATTTATTATACACCCCTTAACCCAAACACTCCAAGGAGGATATTTCGTGACCCCGTATTTAAAGTGGACAAGGTTTATTAGTCAATGTTTTAATTACCCAGCGTCTTTAATAAAAATCTAATGTAATTTTTCATAGAAATGATCTGACATGAAAAGCAAATTTTATCAAAAAACTTTTTGATTATCTACAAGGAGTAAACCGCTGACAAATGTCTGTATACTAATGCCAAAGTAATGCCAAAAATACAAATTAAATACCAAATTTCTCATATAATGCCCCACTAATGCCAAGCTGATTCCAATATAATACCACTAATACCACGAATAATATGTAACACATTTGTTTCACGAATTAACCTGTAACAATACTGGTAGGTACGTGCACAGATTTTTTCCTAGGTAACTTAAAAGTCGTTAAAAAGTCTAATTATATTTAAAGAAGATATAATTCCAACAAATTACATTATAAGGCCAATAATGCACAAGTAATACCATTAAAATTTTAGCGTTTTTAACTTGTGTAACATATTTCTTTAACGAATTAACCTGTAACAATAGTGGTAGGTACGCGCACAGATTTTTTCGCTAGGTAACTTATTAAGTCGTTAAACAGGCCTATAAAAGCTATAACAACATAGGTAACTAATATTTATAATTTAATTCGAGTTTTAATCTCAAATAATAAATGTTTTTACTGGTGTATTTCTGAAGTGTTCATTATTAAAAGTAGATATTCTTCAAGTTATGCGAAGTAATAAGTAATGTTTCCGGTGAGACCGCGTATATGTCACCGGATTCTGGTTAGTATAAAGACTTTTTCTATAGAAAGAGTTTTTTCTATATTTTCCTTTCAAAATAAGACTAATTTCTTCTTATTCTTTTAAATATTACAGTGTTTCTTTTTCCTAAAATGTTATACTTAATTTTCGCTTAAAATTAAAAAATCACAAATGGAGGAAAATATACGTTATTGAATAAAGTTTATACAAATCACTTTACCATAACAAAAAAGTAAAAACATGTCATGGCGGAAGATATTCAGGTGGCATTTCACACATTTATCTATTAAAATCGAGATTAAAATAATAAACTTGCGTAACATGTTATACACGAGATAGAAAATTTCAGAATCGATTAATACGCAATACGCTACGCAGTCAACTTATTCCTATGCGCGGATGAGCGTCTTCAAGACTCTTCCTTCGGCCAGGGTCACGACGCAGCCGAAGAGGAATCGGCCTACGTTTGGCTAAACAGGCTGGACACGGTGGAGTACGATATTAGCGAGTCTGAATATTTATAAAAATTTGCAAAGTAAAATATGTTGGAAAAATAATTAATCCATACATATATAAAAGCTCAAAGGGTTTTTTTGTTGCATCCATCCCGCCGAAACCGCTTTGCCAATCTTGATGATTCTTTCTTTAAATGAAAGGTATATATGTGTAGATTTGTTATGAAGTATTTTTATAGTGCTTAATGGCTATTTCTTTGTGTAAAACGACTAAATACTAAAACATGCCTGAAAAACACCTACACACAATACCTCCAGATATAAATTATTTGTCTTTGTCAGTGGTGTGTCAGTTAGATTATATATTACGTTTTTAGATATTTTAGAGTAAGTTCATGCCGCCAGCTTTACATACATAAATATTAGCACAAAGGTTCGTTTAAACGACATTAGTGAATTAGCTACACAAAGCGATTTTAGGAAATTCATCCTCTTAGAGAGTAAAATTATCTCGGAACAGTTTGTTGTAAGAAAATTCCTTACTATTTGGTCTAGAAGAATGAAATCCTACAAAAAGAATTAGAAGAATTTTTTTAAATTCATCAACCAAATGGGTAAAGTTAGTAAAAATTTATATAAAACTTGGTGACCTCTGGATTATACACATAAAAATTGGCACAAAGGTAAAGCGAATTTATGAAATTTATACCCTTAGGGAGTAGAATAGGGAATAAAAGTTTGCTGTACGAAAATGCAATATTATAACATTATAAACCAGACAGTATAAAATTTTATACAAGGGTTTATTTAGTGACATCATAACGAAATATATATTCCTCAATTATCCTTCAAAGAATAAAAAATAACCTATAAAGAGAGTATTAATGCTCTTAATAAATAAAAAAAAAGATGAAAAATAAAAAACATCTATGCTCACTAGCTCTCTATAAAGAAGTAAAAAATCATTTAAATCAATGCATGAACGATTCAAGGTGTAACGCGAACGTAGTCGCGAGAAAAAGCTAGTAATTTATTAAATTATTTTATTTAACTCATTAATTTTCATTGAAAAGGAATTTTTGTAATTCGCCACTATATTAGTTAAAAACTAAGAAACTCATATCAAATTTAAGTTTTGCGATTTTGACTTATACTTTTTAAAAAATCTGAACACATTTTAAAAGAAAAAAAGTTTTTGATAATATTTGTGTAGATTGACTACAATGTATAACATAAATTTCTACGACCGGTCTACCTAGTGGTCTGCAGCATCGCCTTGTGGTGCAAACGTGGGCCTGTTAATCTGTGACGTGACGCACAACAGCCAAGAAAAACAGAAGCGTGGCTAAGAATTTAGTAATTTAAAAAAGTGTCTTTTAGATACAGTAGTAGGTATTAAAAAGTTTTGTGTAAATGGGGTTTGCCTTTAACAGTTAAAAAATTATATCGTAAAGTGTAACTTTCCGTAAGAATTCTTTATCTGTCATTGATCATGATCTGTCATCATGTTAACCTGATGTTTTGTTTTTTTCGATGTTTTTTTGCTTGCTTGTTTTACGGATAGGTGCGATCGCATAATTATTATTGATAATGTTTTATTTAATGTTAACATTACTACTTTTTCAGTGAATCTTTAAATCTGTTGTTTTTTGTTAAGTTCGTTATTTAAACATAATATGTATGTAATACACTCATATTAACACTAATCATATTTTTACGTTTTTATTCATCATTTTCAATGCCCCCCCCGGTTGCATCTTTGTAAAGGACTGTGAATTTTTTAAATTTCGTTAACAAGAATGATAGGGGTAGTTTATTTCAACCCCTTCCACTCATTTTAAAAAAGTGAGAAAATTACCAGAAAGTATGTTTTCATAACAGTAATGCTTCCATAAAATTTCATTAGTCTATCATTTTTCGTTTTCAAGATAAAAAATAAAAACATTATTTTTCCGCCATCTTTGTACCGCGATATCTCCCTAATGGTTGACTTTTGACCCAACGTTTATAAAGCAAACTACCCTTTATTTTGAACAAGGAATCACCCCCTGAAGTTTGTCGCATTTGTTTTGAAACACCCTGTATATACGATAATGCAATTTTATCGTCCTGTATATAAAACAATATTTTTTCCATAGCAAGTTACGTTTTAAAAAATATTCAGAAATTATTATTTCAAGGAATTTATCGAGTAGAAAAAATATTGTGCTGGGTTGGCGTTGGTTTCTATGTAATTTGACAAATAAATAGTTGTCAGCTTTGAGTCAATATTTTTTAATTCTTTTTCGTGCCGATTGCTGATTGAATTGGAGCCAGAAATGGCTCAAAACGAAATAAGTAAATTACCAACAGATATTCAGGCTGAGGTGACAAACGCCATATCCAAACTACTTCCATTTAAATCCCGAATAACTTATAAAAAAAAATACAAAATTTTTCAAAAATTGAAGCAATTAAAAAACGTGCGAGAGGAAATAAAGTTTTTAACCTATCCTCGCTGTTAAAGTATCATTTAATCTACCCTTGCGGGTAAAGTACTATTTTATCTACTAGTTTTGATAGATATAAGGCAATTTTAACAGTTGCTATGGAAAAAAAAGTTTAAAAAATAAAGACTTTTTTAGTAGTACTTCTTTCTAAATCATGGCAAGACCAAATCATTTTACAATCAGTACCTACCTACTTCAATATACTGTTCATAGAAAATAATAATAAAAATTAAACATATTCAAACAAGGTACTTCTTTGTATCCGTCCATCCTTCCTCTGCAGATGACTATCAAGAATAATACTGGGTATTCATTCTTCAATACTCATTGTTTTTTTTTCTTTTGATATTTTTATTGAATAGATAGTCAGAAATGTTTATTATCAAGAATATTATAAGAGTACCTTGTAGGTACTGCAATAATGCAGTGATACATTCTTGATTTTTGTTTACTCATTTGGTTTTTTTTTTCAGAATGAAGCGGCCACCCGGATTGTGGATACTGTTATCAGCTGGTAAGTAAGGTATACTTCATTTTTTTTTAATTTAATTTCTATACAGGGTGCGGCAATCTGTATAGCTTCTAAAATAAAAAAAACTTATGAATTTTGTTTAAGTGCAAAGTATATATTTCAGGAAAATAATTTAACCCCTATAGGGTGGCTTAAAAAAGGGTGAGTGGGTCGGAATGAGTTTTTTTTTTTGAAATGGAACACCCTGTATGTTATTGTATTTTTGGGTTCTTTTCCGATCACTTTACTTAATCCTAAGATATGAGTAAATATATTTTAATAGTTTCAGAGATATTAATAAATAAATAAAAAAAAATATTTTTTTCAGCCATTTCTTAAAAAATATTAAAAATACAAGAAATGTTCTGAAATTAAAACTATACCAGGTATACTTTAGTTAATCTGTACTTACTTTATCTTTTTTTTTTATAAATATCGTAATCTTAAACCATACAGGGTGTTCAAAATTATATGCCAAACTTTCTAAAATTTTAAATAGTTTTTCTTCGTTTTTTTTTTAATGGAACACCTTGTATATTATTCCTTTGTTAGATGGAGAATTAAAAAATGAACTTTTTTTGTATTTAAAGTATTTCAAAATTTTAACTGCTTTGTGTATACCGGGTGCGTCTCAAAAGTGGCTCACCTCATAACTTTTTTATTTTTTCAGATAAAAAATTGAGATTTGGTATGTTAACATATGACATAAATTAGGATTGATTGACGTATTCAATTGTTTTCTGTCACTTCTTGTTTCGCCGGAAATGACTACAAGTTTTGATTTTTAAATGGTACCCTCGGTTTTTTGTTGCTTTATTCGATACAAAATGATACTCTGAATCGAATGACATATCATATGTCAACTTTGACATTTTTGCATATGGTTTATTTGAAATTATAACATATGCGATTCATAACGATAATTTGACTCGAAATATCATATGTGTGGTATCAAATTATTTGTAAAAAATGCTTTTTCCAAATATGCTAATGAGCAATGAGCCACCCTCGTTCCATTTGAAAAAATTGAGATATGATTAAAAATACGATTTGGGCATCTTTTAACCAGCCAGGACAAGACACGAATAATATTAGACGATGAAATTTATTTTTCCAAGGCTCCTTGATTAAAAATTAGTGTTTTTAACACAGCCATGGCACTCTAGATTGAAATTTAAAATTCAATTTTGTTTTAAACAAAAATGTCAAAAGTTGACATATGATATGTCATTCTATTCAGAATGTCATTTTCTATCGAATAAAGTAAAAAAATACCGGGGGTGCTATTTAAAAATCAAAAGTTGTAGTCATTTCCGGCGAAACAGGAAATGACAGAAAGCAAATGAATATGTCAATCAATCCTAATTTATGTCATATATACTAACATACAAAATCTTGTTTTTTTTTATATAAAAAAATAAAGAAAGTTATAGAGGTGAGCCACTTTTGAGACACATCCGGTATTATAAGTTTTTTATTTTAATTTAGGAGCTACAGATGCCCTACACTATTGCCGGATTTTGTATTTCTATAGTACTATATATGTTTAACAATAACAAATATAAACAAAACAGAAAATTATCAACTTTTACTGTTAAAATACGAAGAAACCGAGAACACTTGAAACTGAATTTATACAATCCAACATATGGTACTCGACAGTACATCAGCTTCATAGTAGGTTAAGGTTGCGTGGTACTACTTATGCTACTCTTTGATTCTGTCTTTTAATGATGTTTTCACTGAAATTCAAGACATTTCTCAGATGTCTGACAACTACAAGAATCCATTTTTGAAGTTATTTTTTTTATAAATTAAATAAGAATTAGACAGGGTGAGCCAACGATACAATAAAGTTCAATATCTAGTTTATTTTGAGAGTTACGAAAAAAAATAATAGGAAAATATATCATCTTAGATGTTACAGATAGTTCAAAATAATTTGTTGAATTTCGACTATTTAAAAGTAAAAATTTTCAATTTGTTTTTTAAAAGGACCCACCCTGTAAGGTATATTATTATTTTTTCTCATTGATTTAGACACACACACATTGATTAAAATCTCAAATCCATTATAATTTTAAGGATTTCTTATTAAAATTCTACTTTAAAATAAAAAAAATAATATTTTATAATAGTTTTGGTGTTTCAGGCGTTTTGTGGTTATGTTTGCGAGACGTAGATGGTGTTCGGGCGACATCGTTGATCTTCGGCAGATCAACGACGACCACGACGAGTGAAGCGCCACCCAGTGGACCAGAAAATACTAATAATGATGAGGTAACTGTATATTACATACCTTAGATGAAATATTTCATTACTGTCCTTTGGATAAATATATTAAGAAAGGAGTATAATCTTATCCATGCACCATCAGAAACCGGATCGACATCACAAACCCCCATTTTTGACAGTTCTCTTTGACGTTTCGATTGACACATTTGATTAGGGAATAATTTTTACTGGTAATTAACTATATAATACCCGTTACTTGTAGTAAACCAATCAATTTTGAAATTCACTTAGAATTAACTTATACAGGGTGGTTTGAACTGTATTCCGGAAGCTTCAGCAACATATTCTGCAAGTAAAAATAAGTAAAAAAGTTCGTATAAATGTATGTCCTAAATGCTTAGTTTCGGAGATACAGGGTGTAGAAGTTTCATTTTTATTTCGATATTTTTCAAAATAATTTCTGAAGTAACAGTTCGAACCACCCTGTGTATTTTTCTTGCATTTTCGCTTTTATTTACAAGTTGTCAAAAATAATTAGGTAGATACGCTTCTTCCTTACTAATCTTTCTCTTCAAAGGTACACAACTTTAACTACATAAGTTATTTATATAGATGATCATTATTCTTCCTTGCTTGTCTTCTGGGTGTTCTTCTTCTCCGTCTCCGAAATAGAAAGCCTAAGGTTAAATTACGCAACAGTATTAGGTGGAATTAGCAAAAGTTAGATAATAACAATGCGTCGAAGATTGAAGAGAACCTTGAAGAAGACCGGTTAACTTTGTTGGTAGGCTCGCAATGTTTGTTTATACTGTTAAAACCGAAGAAGATTCTTAGTTCCGTCTGAAATAAAACTGTTACCTAGATCAATAAACTAGCGTGTACCCGCGACTTCGTTGGCGTCGAATTTGTAATGGTGATGATAAAGCAAAGCAAGAATTTCCATTAACATACAAATTGGATAAAATTTTCTCACATTTATGTCAGCATGAGAAAAAACAATATGGCGATATTATTACATATATAACTTGGTAATATTTGAGGGGTAGTTTCATCTCGTTGGAATTTGACTTTCGAAAAATCCGTTTGCCAGTTTAAGCAGAATCGTGGTTAATCAATTACCCAACTTTTTGGAACACCCTGTATGATTTTTTAAAAAATTTCAAAATATGTAAAAAAAACACAATAAATTATGCGGGTCCAAGCGTTTTCCCAAAAGACTAACCATTTTTTAAATAACAAATATTGTGATATTGATGGTTTTCACCCTCTTGGAATTCGAGAAACCCCTCCTTATCGAACCTCTACGCCCCACAGTCCATCTGTTTGCCAAAAATCAGCTTTAAACGTCAAGCAGTTTAAGCAGAATCGTGATTACTCAATGGTCATATTTTTTGAAACACCCGGTATAAATTTTTAAAAAATCTTAAAATATTTAAAACAACAAAATATAATATACGTGTTTAAGAGTTTTTCCGAAAAACTCACCGGTTTTTAAATAAGAAATATTCTAATATACCAGTTAAAATACTTGCACTTATTTCTGAGACACCCTGTATAGGTATATAGTGCTGTGGAGCTTGGTGGTGGATGAACTACTAGATGAATTAACTCTAGCGGGAATACACTGCATTGGGTATGCAGATGACATAGTCATGATCGCTCGGGGGAAACATGAAGGCACCTTGTGTGATATTATCCAAAGAGGACTCCGTATCACTGAGAGATGGTGTAGGACTGTCGGGCTGAGTATCAACTCAGACAAAACCGCGATAGTGCCATTCACCAGAAGGCGAAGTCTGAAAAACTTGAAAAGAATCCAACTAGATGGAAAGGAAATACTGCCAACACAGGAAGTTAAATACCTGGGAATAACTCTGGACAGTAAACTCCTGTGGAACAGGCATATTAAGAACACTACCAGCAAAGCCATAAAGGCTCTCATGATATGCAGAAGACTGGCCGGAAATAGATGGGGCTGCTTCCCTAACATTTTGCGCTGGATGTATACCATGATAGTAAGACCCATGATTACTTATGGAGCAGTTGCCTGGTACACAAAACTAGAGCAACGGACGGCAAGGCTAAACCTATGCAAAGTCCAGAGACTAACATGCGTTTGCATCACAGGAGCCATGAGAACCTGTCCAACAGCAGCAATGGAGGTCATTCTAGATCTAACACCACTGCACATTGTCATTGGTAGATATGCCAATGCGACATTGATTAGAATGGTCACTAACGGAATTAGTACTGGGAGAATTGTCAGATCAGGGGCTTGGAACACCCTCATAAAGGAAATACCACTCCTGCAACTCCCAGTGGACGATATGCTAAGAACGTACAACTTTGAGAAACATCTCCATGTAGTATTGAGCAATAAAAAGGATTGGAAGAGCGAAACGCTTGCCCAGCAGTTAAAAGACCATACCATAACTTGGTATACTGATGCTTCCAAAACCAATACGGGAACAGGGATCGGAGTGTTTGGGCCGAGAGCTAAATACTCCGAACCAATCGGCACTTACCCTAGTATCCTACAGGCAGAAATCTACGCTATCGAAAGATGCATACAACTTATCTTAGATAGGAACTATCGGAAACAAGAAATAGCCACCTTGTCTGATAGTCAAGCAGCGTTAAAAGCGATCAACTCAGTATCAATCCATTCGAAATTGGTCAAAGAATGCATAGAGAAGCTGAATAAATTAGGCAAAGAAAACAAAGTCCTCCTAACTGGGTGCCTGCTCACCAAGGGATAGAAGGCAATGAAAAAGCAAATAATCTAGCTAGGAAAGGAGCGAACACTCCACTAACTGGACCAGAACCGTTCTGCTTTCCAAGTGGTAACCAACTCAAAGCGGAACTCAAGAACTTGGAAGATTCCATCCGCAACCTGGAATGGAAATCTTGCAATGGTCTAAGACACTCGAAGAAGTTTTTGAGGACTTATGATCAAGAAAAATCACAGATCTTCCTGGGTCTGAGTAAGAACAATCTTCGGATTGTCACGGGGTTTTTAACAGGACACTGTCTCCTCAATGAACACCTCAGTAGATTGAAACTAAGAAGAAACGGCGAATGCAGATTCTGTGGGGAAGATGGTGAAACACCAGTACACCTCATCACTGAGTGCGCCGAGACGACAACCATTCGTGCCATGAATTTTGGTACGACTGATATTGGAGATGGAGAACTACCCTCTATAAAACCGTCCCAGATACTGGCTTTTGTCAAAGCCCTGGGACTGTATGATGAGTTATGATTCAAGAAAGGGGGACACAATGGATCTGTAAGGTCGAAGTGATTAACCCCCCTCCCACTCATTCTAAATTCCATTCTAATAGGTATATAAAAAATAAAAAATATTTTTTTTATATAATTTTTCCATTATAAATGTTCTGTAAAAGTTGTAATAAAAAATGGGCTCAGCCTATAACAATAGCCCCTATAACAAATATTCTTAGTGACATTTTCTAACATTAGTAGATGATTTACAAGAGAATGCGATGAATTAATTGACATTTAATGTAATTTCTGATAATTTTTCTTGGCAGACCTTGAATAATTAAATGGAGATGTCGCCTTTTGAAAGTGAGGATACACTTAAATTCAATGCCATTAATAAATATACCGTATGATCGAAAAAAAAACGACGTCAAAGACGGCTGGGAATGACAATCGATGATAATTTTGACGAGGTCAAGCCCTAGATTATTTACTTAATCGTATCGTGTAAAGAAAATTTCACTAAGTATTATTAGAAATTTAGAAATATCTGAGTATATTATGGTAATATTAGATAAGGATAAAGGTACATCCTAAACGACAACGTCACAAATTACCTATAACAGATGCGAAAGAAAGCGACTGCATCGGAAACCGCTCGGCAAACCCGACACGCCTATTGAGTGGTGTAAATACACCAGTCGTTTAGTCCGGAAACCTATGCTGTGTCGTATTCGCTTGCTGGAATGACATAGTGCGTGGTTATATGTTTCTTTTTAAAAACGCGCGTAGGAATTTTGTTGAACTTTCGAACTGTTATTTCTAAGTTTTGGTAATTTGTATATCTTATTTAAAATGGGATGCAAATGTGTTTATTTATAAGGAAAAAAAAGATATTTATAGTATAAAAAATTAATTTATTTAACAAAATTTAATTAAAAATGTGACAAAATAGTTACCTTTCTATTGGTTCTATCGGACTTTTTCGACTATATAAATCTTTATTTGTAAACTTTAATACATCAAATATTTTCAATCTAATAAATCATTTAATGATGTAAATAAGAGGAAATTTCTCACATGGGTGGTCAAATTTTATAGTTTTCATTATATCAAACAGCCTCTGAGAAATGTTTTCAACTCAAAATGCCTTTAATTATGAATATTAGACTTAATACTAGACCCCTTTTAATGACTACATCATTAAAAAGGGTCTTCAAATACATCAATGTGATATTTGTCTAAAATTTGCAAAAGAATCCGAATCTCTGGATAACTCGAAATTATTTACCCATTTAAAAGTCTTTGATCATGAAAGTGGAAAAATTTGTTCATTTTATTTACAGGCTGGAAAAATTATTTATATTAAATTTTGATGAGTTTTGCACTGAAGAAAACATTCAGAGGCTGTTTGATATAATGAAAACTATAGAATTTGACCAGCCATGTGAGAAATTTCCTCTTATTTACATCATTAAATTATTTATTAGATTGAAAATATTTTATGCATTAAAGTTTACAAAAAATAAAGATTTATATAGTCGAAAAAAGTCCGATAGAACCAACAGAAATGTAACTATTTTGTCACATCTTTAATTAAATTTTGTTAAATAAATTAATTTTTTTATACTATAAATATCTTTTTTTTTCCTAATCTTCTACGAGCTGATATAATATGACGAGCAATCTATTAAATTACTGTGAGATTATACAGAAAAGTCCACAGACTTCGAGACATAGGAAAATCAAGTCCATTTAGCGTGTGTCCAAATTTTGACAAGTTTTCAAAAATGACAGTTTTGTTTAGACTGACGTTTAATTTCACCTGACTTCTCGGTGAATGATTTCTTTTTTAGGGGGTACATAAAATATAAAATTTACGGCCATGAAGAAATTCAAAACTTGGAGCAGTTAAGGCAGAAAATATTTAATGCCTTTGACACTGTCGCCCCTGATATGTTATCCAATGTGAGGAGGGGATTTTATGATCGTTTGGGTTATTGTTTAATGCAAGGGGGAGGCACTTTTGAACAATTTTTGTAATTTTTTAAATTTCATTATCCTGTTTTTTACCGTTTACCCATTACCTACCTTAACGAACATGGGAAAACGAAGGTCCTTTTCAGGACCACAAATATTTTGATTGTCAAAATTGGTAACTTTTTTTTGGATTAAAAACAAAAGTTGTTAATATAATACCAATTTAAAAGTGTTTTAGTAGTTTTAATACACACTATGATATAAAATTTATTATTATTATAACGTACATTATTAATACTATTGTTTATTCGAAATGGCATTAAGGCCCAATTGAAACAATGATTTAAATTTTTCTTAAAGATAAGTAGAGCTTAGAATGAGCTGTATTTATATTTACTTTAATATTCACCTTAAATGAGGGAATTTGATTGATACAATTTTTGAATTTGAATTGTTTTTAATGATACTAACAATTTTAGTTCAATTTTTAATAAAATTTATTTAATATTAATTGAAATCCAAGAGATTTGAAACCACTTTTAGCGATTTATAACATTTTCAAATGAATTACAGGTGCCCTTATTTTCTATGAAAATCACACAGCTTTTTTCATAGTCGCTGCTGTTGCTATAGCTATAAAAAACTAATTTTTTAAGGTGTGAAAATTGCGACACACGCTAAATGGACTTGATTTTTCGTATGTCTCGAAGTCTGTGGACCTTTTTGTATGCCTCGATAACATATTGGTGCAGATTATTTTCACTTAAACAAATAATAACCCAAACCATACATTGATGCGGATTGTCTATGAACTCTTTCTGAAGGTCACAGAAACTTGAACGCGTAATTCGGTGTTCTTTCGCATCTGTTATAGGTAATCTGTGACAACGTAGTGATGTAAATATACGTAGTTACGTTCTGAATATCTTTCAGTTTTACTTTCTATTGAATCGCTCGGTTCAACATTCATTTTTGTCACTCTTGATTTCGGCGTAAAAGTAGAACTCTATCTCTACGAGGGCAATTCAAAAACTTAAGAATCCATTTAACTAGTCCGAAAAAGTAGCAAAATAAGCGTTCGGCATTTAATGTTTTATGTAAATCTGGCTAGGTAGTAGGATAGAGATTAGTTTAATTTCAGATAAAAACATTATTTATACCAAAAAAATAATTATATTTTTTTATTTGTATTTCAGACTGGCACAAATTCAAACCAATCGGGCAATAGTACCAACAATAGTGCCAACAGTACCGCCAACGAAAGTTCGGAACCCACCCTGACAGGCATACCCCAAATAGACTATTTAAGTGATCCAAACTTGCCCAAAGAACTAAACGGTTTCAACTTATCGGATTACCCGTTTTATGAAAGGGTAAGTACCAGTTTTAAGCATCCTAGATGTATATACAGGGTGTCCATAAATTCCCAATTTATTTAAAAGGAAAGGAGTTCTTTAGTCTTGCATTTTTGAATTTTAATAAATTTTTATTAATATATCTTCATACGGTTTGTTTATATCTTTTCAATTTAGTTAGAAAATAATAATTCTCTAATCCCTAGGTACCGGCTGAAGAGATAGACTTCAAATGTGACGGACTACATGATGGGTTCTACGCAAGCGTACCTCACAAATGTCAAGTAAGTTTTTTACTCCTTACTTAATTTTATATCAGTACCGACTGAGAATGTTTTCACCAGTAAATACCATAGTATCCCAAACATATAGAAAAGGATTTGAAAAGTTGAATTATTTATAGATATACAGTTCATACCAAACAAACTTTTAGTGACGTGATTAAGCTTGACCGGCACAGCGTTGCCAACTTTTATATATTTTCTTTATATTTTTTTTTTATTTTTTTATTTTTTATTTATATTTATATTCTTTTCTTTATTTTATAAATATATAAACAGTTATTATTTACATTAACAAAACTCACCTTCTTAACAGCACTTAAGGGACATAAAGGGCCATTACTACCGCTTTCCCGTTCAAAATATTCTAATAAAGTTGCGATGAGTTTTTTACCTTTTATCTTGTACAGGGTGGGTCAAATTCGACGCTTTTAAATGGAAACACCCTTTTCTATAGCAGATAGACAAAAACTAATATCGGTGTCTGGAGCTCAATTTTTGTCCAAAGCATGATGGTGAAAACCGCATATCGATATCTGTTACCGTTTCGGAGTTACGGGGTGTTTTTCAAAAATATGCATTTTTAACAAATCGCTGTAAAGTTTTTTGCAATGGAAAATTTTGTATTTTTATGAAAACATTTCCAAAGCACCTTTTTACGTAGAATTTAATGGTTTAAGTATAATTTTTTTAAAATTAATAATTTAAGAATTATCAACAGTAAATTTGATTTTTTATATGGGACACCCTGTATATTTTTAATTTATTGAAAAGAATTTAAAATTACCTTTTCAAAAACATAACACACTTGATATTTTGCTCGATTCCTTTTCGAGATATAGAGTATATAAAAATTCACCCGCTTTAAATAAGTAGGCTTTGAACGGCACCGGCTGTAATGCAAAAAAATTCTAGCTGTGAGCATCAATTAAAACGAAAATAATATTTGCTATGAGAGATGCAGAATTTTATAACAATTTAAAATATATTTAACCAACATCAACACATTTAAACTATATCTAATAACTATAAAAATAAATAGCAAACCAAGACATGAGATTTTGCTACAGGTGTTCGACATATCAACCATCTTTTGTTATGGACAGACGGGACAGTTTTTGAACATTTCTCGCGGAATTCAACTCATTGGGGGTGAAAGATACCCTCTCATAACTGCTAAGTATTTCTAATTCTTGTCTAGATTACACGGAAGAATAAGGAACCTTTATTCTTCCGTAAATATATCCATAGAATTAGATCCATGGGCACTAAGTAAGGCGGCCTCGAGGGCCAACGGCTGGGATCTTGGTTAGCTATTCAATTATTCTTGAAATTGGCTGCAAAAATTTGCTGATAACTTCAGCGTTCAGAGGCGGTGCGTCGTCTTGTTGGAAAAATATGTTTTCGAGTTCCGTTCCACACCATCAATATGGGATCCAAAGCCTACTAGTTAAAAGTGGCAAACTTTTAAAAATTCTGTATTTCAAAAGGGATTATAACAAAATATCAAGTATGCTATATTTTTAGAAAGGTAATTTTAAATTCTTTTCAGTTAATTAAAAATATAGAGGGTGTCCCAAATAAAAAATCAATTTTTCTGTTGATAACTCTTAAATTATTAATTTTAAAAAAATTATACTTAAACCATTAAATTCTACGTAAAAAGGTGCTTTGGAAATGTTTTCATAGAAATACAACATTTTCCATAGTAAAAAAGTTACAGCGATTTGTTAAAAATGCACATTTTTGAAAAACACCCCGTAACTCCGAAACGGTAACAGATATTGATGTGCGATTTTCACCATCATGTTTTTGATGAAAATTGAGCTCCAGACACCGATATTAGTTTTCGTCAATCTCCTATAGAAAAGGGTGTTTCCATTTAAAAGCGTCGAATTTGACCCACCCTGTACACTTCGCACGTAAAAGAGGTTCTAAAAAGAACAATGTTCGACTACAAAGTCGAAGAAAACATTCGTTTTGCAGTTAACTTTTACAGTATTCAACAAAATAAAACACTAATTCTCCACAATACACCAAAACACTTTACCTTTACACACTGGACGCGCGTTTCGTTAACCATATTAGCATATTATCAGCAGATAAACGATAAACGGGCACCTTAAAATGTGAAACACCCTGTGGAATATATTAAGACAACGAGTGACTTTTGGTTCATCTCAATAAGCTCATTTTTGTTGGAGATATTCGCTTTTGAAGGAGACACTAACATTTTTCCATTAAAACCATGCTTTTGCTTTTGGTTCTAGTCTGAACAACATTTTGAGTTTCCTCGTATAATTGACTGATGGTGGGAATTTTTATTTTTAATTTAGAAAAAGATGCTAAAAAGTCAAATAATTAAAAGATCATCAAAATCGACCCACTAAAACACAATATATAAAACTGTAATCTAAAATTCTAATAAACAGCTCACTAATATACTCTAAACATTGATTTACCGCGCTAATATCGTAAATATCTCTTACAGGTATACCATCACTGTCTTTTTGGTACGAGGTACGACTTCCTTTGCGCAAACTACACAGCCTTTGACCAGAAAACCTTCATCTGTCACTTTGTTTCCGAAGTTGACTGTCAAAACTCCAAAAAATTCTGGCACAGAAACGACGCCTTATACCAAGCGGCAAGTACCACCACCACGGCAAGCCCCTTGAATCTGAGGGCTGCCATTTATACCACCGCTTCGCCCGCTGGTGCTGCTGATCCTGCGACACCTATTCCTGCTTTGCCTGCTAATCCAAGGAGACCTGGCTTCAGGAGAAGGCCTTATGGAGCTGGAGGCAGAAGAAGACCTCAGTATGATTATTATGATGATGAGTACTATGATGACGAGTACTACGAAAGACCCAGGCCGAGGAAGAGACCTAGACCGAGACCTAGGCCTGTGTATGATGAGGATTATGAAGAATATGAAGATGAGAGGTATGACTAAATAATATTAAGCTTCTTTTATTATTAATTCTCTATTTTTATCGTTTTTAGGTATGAAAGTAGACGTGGTGGGGGCAGAAGAAGACCCTACAGAAGAAACAACACCAGGAAGAAGCCCAAACACGAAGATGCCGATGATGTAGTTGAAGAAAGATTCGAAGACGAAGATTTTATTGCTGGTGAGGAATTTTTTAACATTTTCTTTATTTAAACCAACTTTTTCTTGCTTTTTTATTAGCACACAACAGACAGAAGACTGAAGAACGGCGAAAACGCCCTGTAGACGACTACGATGAACCAGAACAAGATCGAAAACACTCCAACCCTCGAAAATCAACTAGAAAAGGATCCAGGAAGCCTGCAAGTGAAGAATACGAAGACGAACCTGCTCAAGACTACGAAGAACGTCCTAAAAAACGAATTAAAGAAAGTGCAGACGGTAGACCAATCATCAAACCATCAACAGGAACCATTTATGACAGACCCAGAGTTGCACCGAAGATTAACTTGCCTGTACCCAAAAACGCAGCTGATAAGTTCTCCTACAAGAACCTAGGAGGTGCCCAAGGTGCTAGCAGTACTTCAACAACGACTAGTACCACAACACTTGCTCCAGAAAACGTAGAAGATGAGTTAGAAGATGAAGAATACGAAGAACCGCTTCCTAAAAGATCAAAAATCCCAAATAGGAGGCCATCAAGTGAATCAAAACGAGATAAAAACAAAAATGAAGATACTAAAGCACAATCCACGTTATCCAGACCAAGAAATAAGAAACCTGAGGTTGAAGAAAGTAGTGTGAAGCCTAAATTCAGTAATACCCGACCCAGGTACAGGCCTGCATTGAAAAGGAAGCCTGTAGTTGAGGAATACTACGAAGATGAAGAGGAGGAGTACGTTGAAGATGAAAAGAAGCCTGTAGTAGCTCAGAAACCTTCTACGACTACAAGCACTTCTACGACTACTACAACTACAACCAGTACTACCACAACAACTACAGAAATTCCAAGAAAAGAGCCTTTGATGAGGATTATAAAAAGACCTTTCCTCCCTAGTCGAGGTGGGAACCCTTACAGCCCCAGGGGACTTCAACCGGTTGGTTTAAAGGCTTCTAGCCAGGAGGAGGAAGATTATATTGAAGAAAAATCAAACGAGGAGGTGGAAGTACCAAGAAAACCTCCTTTCAAACCTTCACAAGCTGTCGTAAAGTACCCTAGGGAACCTGAAGAAGTTATTAACCTCCAACCTTCACGCCCTCAGACTTACGTGGCTCCTAGGACCACTCCGAAGCCTCCTAGATCGAAAAACCCCGATCTAATTGAACTGAACGAATATGACGTTACTTTAAATGACGCTCTGAATCCGACGTTGCCGAATTTACCGGTCAGAGCGTTCCCTGCTGGTTTCAGTCCGGGAGTGCCGCAAGATTATGCTTCTTACGCCACCTACCAGAGACCCAGGTACGTTCTGGAGCCTGTGGGCGGTCAGCAGGGAAGGAGTGGGTATGTTAGGCCTGCGCAGACCCAAGCCATATTGTCTGGGTACCGATAGAGAGTGGATTTGTGTGGAAAGTTAGGTTAGGATAGGTTTCGTGTTAAAAAATTCGTGTAAAATATTCTTGTAAATTAAATTTAAAATAAAGATATTTGTAGTATTTTTTTTATTTTTTTTTTGAGCTCCTATTATATGGTGGTATTACTCAAACTTTTTTTGAACACCCTGTATATTTATCAAATTATTACAAAAGTTGATCAATATCATAAACAATCTTTTAAACGAAAGACATAGAGTGTGTTAAACACCCTATAGATGTGGAGACTATTAAATAATGAAAATAAATTAGAATATAAAAATCTATTAACAATTATTGCACATTTCTTTTAAAAAATGCCTATGGGGACATTATAGAAACTTATTTATTGCATATATTATAGAGACAATGCAATAGATCGTTTATGCAATAGGAAAAAAGTGTTTTAAGTGTGAATAGACATTGAATAACAATGAATTGCGGTAGCTGTTTCGTAATGAAACCTGTTAATACTGTTAAATAATCGATTTTCAATGATTTTTGTATATTTAAGGTATTGGCGAATGCGCTAGGCAAAATAATTTCACTGGCATAAATATATTTTATTTTGAGTCTATTTTATTATATGGCGAATGCGCTAGATTAACAGAATTTTCAAAATTTTGAAGAATTATTATTGTTTTCTATGTTTAAATATTTTCTTAGCTACTTATATCAAACATGTCTTTTTTAAATTGTTATGGTTTAATGTAAATTTACTCTAGATTGTGTGAATTGTTGTGTAAATTCAGAAAAAACTTCAAAATATAGAAAAGAACTTGAAAAGAAAGAGTTAGGCCTACTATAGAGTGTAGGGTAATGAGGCCGTATATAACGAATAAAAATAATCCAAAAAAGCCTGACATACACCTAACATATATTTTTTATAAGCTTGGTGCAGTCTCCGCCGGTGCTACCACCATCGGAGAATATCGTAAACAATTAGTACTTACAAATACACGGGTTTAAATAGCGAAAATACGAAAAATTTATTATTTAATTATTCTAAAAGTGTTAAGAAGTATAATTTGTAAAAATTCTAAAAATAAAAATAAAAAAGGAAATATTTTGATATCTTCAGAAGGTCTAACATGTATTATAATGTATTATTCCAGTTAAAAAACCTTTTTAAATGAGTACAATTACGGTAGCGAGCATAGTTTTCTGTTTTTAGGGCATAATATCTGTATTTGCCCTTAAATCGTCTGTTTTTTCTCCTCATTTAAAAAAATATATTTTCTCTGGCCGATTTATTAATTTATTAGGCCCAAACAGACAAAGACAAAGAACCACCCATGACTCAGCGCGTCCTTGAACGCTCCCCGGAATTCCGCCGTCCTTCGGCTAGTTTCGAGCGATTCCGCGCGCTCGCAGCGCCGCCGCGTTTCCAGCGCCTTCTATTTTTAGTTGTGACATCACGCTCCGCTCGGTGGTTTCTCGGAAAAGGGTTTCCCTAAAACCGATGACTCATTCTCATCCCAACCACCGTCGAGCTGAGGAAAATCGGTGAAATTAACGGGAAATCGGAAAACACGCGACAGGGAACAAGTGGTTTTGTTTATTCGGTTCAAGGACGCTGTTTTTCCAACATCACAACAGCTGTGTGAGTTTGACAACAACAAGATGGTCATGGATTTAAGCGATGGTACATCGAATCATTCGGATTTTTCGAACGACAGTCAAAATTCTCAAATGTCGGGGAAATATTTCAAGCTGGACGTCAATTCTACATCAGTTTCGGTAAGTGCTATCCTAAAAACCTGATTAAATAATGCGAAAATGTTTCATAACCTCACTTTGTTCGAGGAATACATAAATAATCAAAACATGAAATTCATCGTGATAAAAATGATAAAGTTTGACGTTGGTTTGTTTTCAAGGCACTCTAATATAAAATTTATGATTTTATAACGTGGTTTTTGGAATATTTTGGCTTGGAAATAGTGTTTTTCAAGGTGATGTTTTGATCGGTGTGTCAAAAACAATTTTTCTAACTAATTATCTCTGTTAATTTGCCAAAAAATATCTTTCAGGGGGTGCACCCTTTCAGGGATTTGGAATAAAAGAAACTTTGTACCAAGAGTTTAGTTCATTAAAAAAATCTTAGTATAGTTTGTTTTGAAGGATTTAATATGAAAATTAGCCATATTTTTTTATATAATTTAAATTAATTTTGCATTAGGCATGATGATATTTTTAATTATATCTATACATATAAGTAACATTAATTTTATAGCTAGTAGCAGTATTTTTAACGACTTTATCAATAATATACCCGGTATGCTTTAATTTATGATAAATGTTTAAAAAGTAGCTGTATAAATTTATGTTAAACAATAAACAACAACAAAATGCTAATAAAAAATGATCCAATTTATTTTAACTGTTAACAACATTGTAAATTTCATAATTTTTCCTATCTTTTTCTGGAAACCCATACAAAACCGCAAACACAAAACAATATTTATATTATCAGAGCCAATAGCAGACCAACGACAACAGTGTTATAATTGTTTAAAGGAACAGATTTTACAACCGACATAAAAATTTGTTTACCAGTACTTCCGTTTGCAATAATATAAATTAAATTATGTTTATACAACCCTGGGTTTTTTTGCAAGTAGAATTTTCCACTTATCACAGACCATTGTTTAAAAGGAGCACATAATAGTGCAAAGGAAATATTAAAATATTTAACTTACGGGATGATTTTTTCATTTATAAATTTCTGCAGATAAAAATAATTAAAAAAAAATTGGCGCTGGGAGGCACGTATAGCCGCCCATACTTGATATTTTTTTTTTATCTCAAAAACTGCGACTTTAACTAATTTTAATGTTATTACAAATTTTGTTTCAAATATTATTCCTAATCTTAAATTGAAAACCGCGTTTCGCTAGCTACTGTAATTTTGGAGTTACGATTATTTAAAATTTTTAACCCCCTCCCATACCCCCTTACCAACCCCCCACCCCCACCAAAAACTAATGGCCAGATTCTCGGGTGCCACAGTATTTTGTGCCAAATTTGGTTAAAATTGGTTTAGTGGTTTTTGAGTTATCATGTTACAGACAGACACCATGAAAATATTTTGTATTTGGGTCATTTATAATACCTCTCTCATAAATACATCTCTGTGAAACTTTGGCCTTACCACAGAAGAAGAGTGGCCTTACGCTGTGCTTTACCACTTTTCGTCTCGCTAGCTCGTGTGTCACGGCCTTGAATTTTTACTCCAAGCGCGCGTAAAGAAATTTCACCTCAAAAATACAAAAAAAACATTTTTTTTAACATCCTGTATCTTTAAAAAACCATAAATTTACAGACCCCTGTTTATACAGTTTATACCAAATAAACTTTTATTTATTTTAATATTATGAATAATGAATTAGTTTGTTTAAAATAAATGTTTTTTTATGTCTTTAATATTAACAACAATATGCTGATTTCTTTTGATATTTTCTTAGTTGTACAGGGTGGGTCAAATTCGACGCTTTTAAATGGAAACACCCTTTTCTATAGGAGATAGACGAAAACTAATATCGGTGTCTGGAGCTCAATTTTCATCAAAAACATGATGGTGAAAACCGCATATCGATATCTGTTACCGTTTCGGAGTTACGGGGTGATTTTCAAAAATGGGCATTTTTAACAAATGGCTGTATCTTTTTTGCTACGGAAAATTTTGTATTTCTATGAAAACATTTCCAAAGCACCTTTTTACGTAGAACCTAATGGTTTAAGTATAATTTTTTAAACATTAATATTTTAAGAGTTATCAACAGAAAAATTGATTTTTTATTTGGGACACCCTCTATATTTTTAATTATCTGAAAGGAATTTAAAATTACCGTTCCAAAAATATAGCACACTTGATATTTAGTTATAATCCCCTTCTAAATACAGAATTTTTAAAAGTTCGCCATTTTTAACTAGTAGGCTTTGGACCCCTTATTGATGATATGTCCCTAATGGAACTCGAAAACATATTTTTCGAGCAAGACGACGCACCGCCTCTGATCGCTGAAGTTATCAGCAATTGCAGCCGATTTCAATAATAATTGAATAGCTAACCAAGATCCCAGCCGTTGGCCGTCGAGGCCGCCTGACTTAGTGGTCATGGATCTAATTCTATGGATATATTTGCGGAAGAATAAAGGTTCCTTATTCTTCCGTATAATCTAGACAAGAATTAGAAATACTTAGCAGTTATGAAAGGATATCTTTCACCCCCCACTGAGTTAACGAATTCCGCGAGAAATGTTCAAAAACTGCCCTGTTTGTCCATAAGAGAAAACGGTCGATTATATGTCGAACACCTGTAGTTTTTTAATATAATATTTTAAAAAAATTATACTTAAACCATTAAATTCTACGTAAAAAGGTGTTTTGGAAATGTTTTCATAAAAATACAAAATTTTCCATAGCAAAAAAGTTACAGCGATTTGTTAAAAATGCATATTTTTGAAAAACGCCCCGTAACTCCGGAACGGTAACAGATATCGATATGCGGTTTTCACCATCATGTTTTTGACAAAAATTGAGCTACAGGCGATATTAGTTTTTGTCTATCTTCTATAGAAAAGGGTGTTTCCATTTAAAAGCGTCGAATTTGACCCACCCTGTACAGGGTGGCGCCTCTCATACGCCGCGGAAGCTCCAAGGAGAACGGTACTTTATATCGAAATGAAATTTTGGCAGCATATGTAGGTTAACTGAAAGCATTTTTTAAAAATATATAGAATTATACAGGCTGTCCCCAAAAAAAGTTACGCATCAAAGTTGTGTTTTTTCTAATGGAACACCCTATATATTAATTAATTTCCATATTTATTAGGTAATTCATATTTATTAGGTATATATAAAACTATAACACCCTGTATATTCGCTCACTGGACATACTGTATCTAAGGACACGGAGATAGATATCAGAAAGTTAATAGGCGCCAACATCGTGAGTTTTTCTTTGTTTCGGGAAACTCTATAATTTTCTCCCCTCCTGGAAAAACATGTTTTTGCTGGCGCCGGTAAAGAGAACGGCGCCTAGGCCAGGCGTCGCCACATTGGGCGCAGCGACGCTTGAT